TTTTGCTTGACCTAAAAAAATTACATGTAGCCAAGATATTTCAAAATATAATAGCAGCTTTATCAATATCATCCACAAAAATTTTATTCATTGGAAAGAATATTACAATCATCTTATGACAACATTATGACTTAAGGGACTTATCCAATTTGCCTCGGCAAATCTAAAAAACATTGTTATGTTTGTCAGATAATTGTTAATTATTTCATTTCAACATGTGATCCAAAAAAGTTGAGTAAGTCTTCATCAATTTTTCAACCTTGATTTTTTATTATTTTATTAAGATACAGTTAATGATTGTTGCAATTCATATTTCTTTCTGCATGTAAATCTTTTTGACTTACACCTTTCTGTTATTTTATAGAGACACGAAAACTTCCAGATCTGTTCCCACTAATTCCATGTGATCTTGGGGAAGGAGAAAAAGTCATTCTAGGATGTCTGGCCCAGGACTTTTTTCCAAGAAGTGTTTCATTCCAGTGGACCAGTGACAGCAACACCGAAGTGGATTCTGACAACTTTATTTTTTCTCAACATAACAGCAACAACAGATTCACTGGAGTCAGTGTAATTAGCGTGCCAAGATCAAAGGTTTTGTCCTACAAATGTTCACTTAACCATACTGAGGGAAACAAAAATGTGGAAGTGGGATGTATGTTATTTTCTTTTATCTATGTTTTCCTATACTTATTCATTGTATACTTAAAATGTCTAAATCTAATTGCCTTGTTCTCTAATTTTGTTTAGATGCAATTTCTTCACCCGATGTAACATTGGTGTCAGTGCCAAATGGAGAGAAACAGGTCTTAGTCTGTTCCATTGAAAACATGGCCACAAAAAAAGCATCTTTTACGTGGGAGAAAAACAACAACATAGTCATTTCCACTGCCATCAAAAGTTCTGCTCCCCTAAAAAGTGGACCTCTTTATTCTGATGTTAGCATCTTAAAAGTTAACCAAACAGACTGGAACAATAAGGATGTTTACACATGCGAGGTGATGCACCAGGGACAAACTTACATACAGAAGGCATCGAAAGGTAGGCCTACAATATGTTGAGAACATTACTTATTCTAATTTAAACTAAGAGTCATATGACAGCTTTGATATGTAATTTCATAAAATGTTCTGTTTTATTTTATATTAAGTGTCTTAAAAAATCTTAATGTCTAAATCTGTTTTTGTGTTTTCTCATTTAGCTCCCATTACAGTGACACTGGACCCTCCCACCCCAAAAGAAATGTTCACAAATAAACAAGTAAAGCTCAAATGTACTGTTCGTGGACAGGATAACAGCATATTATCCAATACTGAAATATCTTGGTTTACTAATGGACAGAAAGTGACCAACAACATAATACAAAATAATGGTTCTCCAAAAGAAAGCACATTAACTTTAACCCTTGATGAATGGAAGGAAGTCAAAAAAGTGAGCTGTTCTGCTGTAAGAGAAAACGTGACACCAATTACTCAGAGTCTGACTGTCTACAGAGGTATGTCATTCAGTTTCTTCTGGTTAATTGATATATATATATATATATATATATATATATATATATATATATAT